TTCATACCCAGTTTAATGTACCCCAATGTTATTCCCCTTGGTCCCTCAGATTTTCCCACCAAAAGTTGTTTACTCCTCTGTTCTCCCCTGCTTTCCTGCTCCTCTGTCACTGACTGGCTGAGAGTTGCCACAGCGCAGAGAGACCCTCATTGCTCCCTTCCCCTGGATACCCATAAGTTACACCCATCTTTCCCCTGTCTCCCAATCCTGTCTCACTCTTAGTTGTCAGTCCCATGCTCCGCCCTAGTTATGAATCCTCCCCTCACCCTTACCCTATATAAGTTTCTGTGTTTCCTTAATAAACTGGCATTGCACCCAGACTTTCAGCTGAGTCTGAACCCTTTGTGTGGTGCCGCATCCTTACCCCTTTTACCCCTGGGCCGTGGCACTTTCCCTCAGGAAAAAAAGTCTGGAACCTTTGGCTTCAGGTGCACTTGGAGGGGCAGCCTGGGAACTTCTTGGGCAGCAAGACCTTTTTGTGGTGGTACCTTTTGTCTGGCAGGAATCTTCAGTTGGATTCAATTATACAGAAGGTGTGATTCCCCACTGCAGAGCAGGACAGAAAAAAAGGGAACAGCAGACCTTTCCAATAGGAAAAAAGAAAGCATGGAAGCATTGCCTTTGAGGTGGAGTTGTTGGGGCAGCCTGGGACCTTCTTAGGCAGGAAGACCTTTCTGTGGTGGTACCTTTTCTCTGGCAGGAATCTTCAGCTGGATTCAATTTTTCAGGAGGTGGGACCGGCCATTGCAGCGCAGGGCAGAAAAAAGGAAACAGCAGCTCTTTCCAACAGGAAAAAAAGTCTGGAAGCTTTGGATTCGGGTGTAGTTTGTTGGGGCAGCCTGGGCACTGCTTGGGTAGGAAACGTTTTCTGTGGTGGCACATTTTGTCTGGCAGGAGTCTTCATTTAGACTAAATTTTCGAGGAGAAGGGACCGGATGTTGCAGTGCAAGGTTGAAAAAAGGGAACAGTAGCTCTTTCCACCAGCAAAAAGCATTGGAAGCTTTGGTTTCGAGGTGAAATTGTTGGGGCAGCCTGGGCACTGCATGAGCAGGAAGACCTTTCTGTGGTGGCACCTTTTGTCTGGCAGGAATCTTCATTTACATTCCATTTTCCAGGAGGTGGGACCGGCCATCAACAGCAAATCTTTCCACCAGGAAAAAAAGTCTGGAACCTTTGGCTTCAGGTGTAGATAGTGGGACAGCCTGAGTACTTCTTGGGCAGGAAGACCTTTCTGTGCTGGCACCTTTTAGTCTGGCAGGAATCTTCATTTACATTCGATTTCTAAAAGGTGGAACCGGACATTGCAGCAAAGGCCACAAAAAAGGGAACAGCAGCTCTTTCCACCAAGAAAAAAGTCTGAAACCTTTGGCTTCTAGTGTAGTTTGTGCAGCGTAGGCACTGCTTGGGTAGGAAGAGTTTTCTGTGGTGGCACCTTTAGTCTGGCAGGAATCTTCATTTAGAGTAAATTTTCCAGGAGGTGGGACTGGCCATTGCAGCGCAGGCCTGAAAAAAGGGAACAGCAGCTCTCTCCACCAGGAAAAAAGTCTGGAAGCTTTGGCTTCAGGTGTAGTTGGTGCAGCCTGGGCACTTCTTGGGCAGCAAGACCTTTCTGTGGTTTGCACGTTTTGTCTGGCAGGAATCTTCATTTACATTCAATTTTCCAGGAGGTGGGACCGGCCATTGCAGCGCAGGGTAGAAAAAAGGGAACAGCAGCTCTTTCCACCAGGAAAAAAGTCTGGAAGCTTTGGCTTTGAGGTACAGTTTTGGGCAGCCTGGGCACTTCTTGAGCAGGAAGACCTTTCTGTGGTGGCACCTTTAGTCTGGCAGGAATCTTCATTTAGAGTAAATTTTCCAGGAGGAGGGACCGGATGTTGCAGCGCAGGCCTGAAAAAAGGGAACAGCAGCTCTTTCCACCAGGAAAGAAAGTCTGGAAGCTTTGGCTTTGAGGTGCAGTTGTTGGGGCAGCCTGGGCACTTTTTGGGCAGGAAGATTTTTCTGTGGTGGCACCTTTAGTCTGGCAGGAATCTTCATTTAGAGTAAATTTTCCAGGAGGTGGGACCGGCCATTGCAGCGCAGGCCTGAAAAAATGGAACAGCAGCTCTCTCCACAAGGAAAAAAGTCTGGAAGCTTTGGCTTTGAGGTGCAGTTCTGGGCAGCCTGGGCACTTCTTGAGCAGGAAGACCTTTCTGTGGTGGCACCTTTAGTCTGGCAGGAATCTTCATTTAGAATAAATTTTCAAGGAGGTGGGATCGGCCATTGCAGTGCAGGCCTGAAAAAATGGAACAGCAGTTCTTTCCACCAGGAAAAAAGTCTGGAAGCGTTGGCTTCAGGTGTAGTTGGTGCAGCCCGGGCACTTCTTGGGCAGCAAGACCTTTCTGTGGTGGAACGTTTTGTCTGGCAGGAATCTTCATTTACATTCAATTTTCCAGGAGGTGGGACCGGCCATTGCAGCGCAGGGCAGAAAAAAGGGAACAGCAGCTCTTTCCACCAGGAAAAAAAGTCTGGAAGCTTTGGCTTAAAGGTGCAGTTTTGGGACAGCCTGGGCACTTCTTGAGCAGGAAGACCTTTCTGTGGTGGCACCTTTAGTCTGGCAGGAATCTTCATTTAGAATAAATTTTCCAGGAGGTGGGACCGGCCATTGCAGCGCAGGGCAGAAAAAAGGGAACAGCAGCTCTTTCCACCAGGAAAAAA